CTATATCGAGAGCTTTATTAGTAAATTCACTATATCGAGAGAATTTTATATAGACTGGCTTTGAGCTTAACTTCACTTTATCGAGATTTTAATTAGTCTTCACTATATCAAAAGTTCACTATAACGAGAGTGACTTGTATTAATTTTCAGCGAAATGATTACAAGAATCACTTCAATTAATCGCAATGATTGAGCAATAACTCGGTCATTAGTCATTATTATAGTAAATATATTTTAGCATTCATTATTGTATTTACTTTAGTATTGAAATGCTTAAAAATTATTTTATCAATTTTTTAACCAATCATATATTTGCATTTTTCGGACAACCTAGTCCCAACCAATAAATATGCTAATTTTTAAATCGCTACTCCACTTTTTACATATCGATATAAAGAAATCCGAAATTTGGCCATTTTATAGATATTAAATTATAAATTTGGCCACTTTATATATTAAATTCAAATTTGGCCGCATCGTATATATGAAAATTAAAATTTTTATTGGTTGGGACTAGGTTGTCCGCACTGTGCATGGAATTTGCTGATTACAGTAATTTGAAAAGCGCAATAAATTTGATCCAAAAATCATAATTGAAGCCTTTAAAAATTTCACATGCTATCTCTGAATTTCAAGACATAAAATTCGGTCTTGATATTTTTCTTCAGCTTGTTCATTTTTTTTTTCTTTAGTTATATTTTTATACGTATCATAAGTGGCGAGAAAACCTAATGCTGTATATGTTAAGTATCGCCAGATGATCTTGTTATTGATCATTCAGGACTAGTCATTCAAGTATAAATGCAGTGAATAATTCTATATTAGGCTCTGATGTTGCATAACGTTCCCAGAATAAATTTTAGTCACGGGTACCTAATAATATATATAAATCCAAATCCACGTTTTAGTTTAGCAAAGTTTCTTTGGCTGCTCAATTAAGTAATTACGTTTATTTGGAATAGACGTACCCGTTTTTTTTTTTTTTTTTTTTTTTTTTTTGATAAGATAAATAATATGACAAAGTCTTGTGTATCAACTTAAAAAAAAAAAATATTTTAAATTTCGAATATAAAAAAGAAAGCTTTTATACAAAGGTAATTTTTAAGAAAACCATCAAACGATAATGTTTAATTGAATAAAAAAGTTAAAGCTTACTGTTATTTTATTTAACATTTTAGAATATTGTATTATAATTCTTATGTTCCTATTACATAGAAAGCCGATACAGCTAGTGTGTTTGACTATAAATTTTAACAAAGGTATATTTAAGTATTTTGAAATTGCCTGATTTTTTTTTATATAGATCTATTTATCTGACACTTTTAGTTTCTATAATATTCAGATTATATTATTGATTTTTAAATATTTATTACGTAATTAGAAACTTTTAGAGAATAAAGTAGAAAAAATATATATAATTCTTTCATCTCACATGGCTCCTCGTCTGTACACGGATTGTCTTGTCAAAGTATTTACGTTTCTTAAAGATGATCATACATCTTTGCACTCTTGTGCGCTTGTAAATCACTTATGGTGTCAAAACTCTATTCCATTGTTGTGGGAAGATCCTTTTGATAGCAAAAAATTGGAGGAAGGAAACGAAAGTCACAAAAGATATTCTCTCGTTAATACGTATATTGCAGGTCTTCCACAAATGTCACAAAAAGTACTTAAGGACAAGAAAATCATATTATCACCAATCATTAGCTCTCCAACATTTGAATATGCATCATATTTACGTAAATTGGATTTAAAAAGTTTTTTCACCGCTATACAATCATGGTCTGCGTGTTTCGCTAAGTGGACTAAAAATAATTTCGCGGGTTACCAAATAGAATTAGTTATCAAAGAGTTATTACGAAATTTATTTCTCATATCTCCACGTATTTTAGTTCTTAGAGTAAATGTTAATATAATAGGAGCAATTATCGCAGATATTCTTCAAAATGTACCTGAAGCAAGAAGCTGTCTGACAAGCTTAAAAGAATTTATGTATTTTGCGGAACATCCTACTATGGAAATTCTTTTTTCACAAATTGCTCAACTTACTGGCAATATCGAACGTTTTAACCTTTCAATTTATGGTCATACCGAGCAACTTCTAAATATGATCAAGGCTCAGAAACTTTTTAAAGAACTTGTTATTAATAATAGAACAAATTCGCCGTTAGGTTTCAAGTTTTGGGTTGACACAGATGCTGGATCCCTGATCTCTAAGAAAGCATCAACTATCACTTACTTAGAAATTGAGAATATTTTTTTTCCATTCCAAGCACTTTCACACTTTACTAATTTAGTAGAATTAAATATGTTTTATTGTGGATCTTATAGCTCGAATGATTGGGATCCTTTATCTGACGTACGTTTGAAAAAACTTGAGAAGATTTCTTATAAGAATCGACATTCCCTTTATTTGGAATCTTTCGGCAGGTTTTTGGGTAATGCAGGCATAAACCTTAGTTCTATTACAATTCGTTGTTGTTCAATATGTGATCCAGAACAGTCACATTTACTATTCACGTCAATTTCGGATAACTGTCCAAACCTTATACATTTTGATGGACCAATTGGATCCGACAATTCTTCAGAATTTGGGCAAATGCTTCACGCGTGTTCCAAAATTGAAACATTGTGTCTTCATCCATCGAATAAATGTTGTAGGGTTGTGCAAAGTCGAACAGATTTTAATCCACTTCTCAAAAAGATCACGATTAAACAACCATGGAAACTGAGGAAATTAACCATCATTCACGGATGGAGATTTACATCTGATGTGTTTGAAGTTTTTTTACAAAGTCGGCAAAGAATTTCAAAGACGATTACATTTTATTGGAATGAATGCGAGATTATTGGTAGTTTTGATAAGGTTTGTGTAAAATATCAAAGGGCTAAAGTTTTAGATAAATATCAAAAACTTTTAAAATATGATTAACATTTATTTGAAAACTCGATATTTAAATTTCCCTTCAGAAATTAGAGTTTTATTTTTTACCTATTATATCTCTCTTAGCATCTCATAAACATATATTTGAAAGGGATATGTATTCTAAAAGAATATAGTTATACAAATTTTTATAAATTATTTTGTATTTACCAATTTTTGGAAATAAAATATTTATTATTTTTTTTTTTTTTATATTCTGCGCGTAACTCTTATCTTTTTTCCTGCTATTATGGTATATGTAATCGCAAGGCAAAATAACTATAATAAATTTAAAGTACTCAATAAATTAAGTTTAGACATCTGTTTTTTTTTTATATTGTTTGCATTATTGGTCTTTTTTTTTTCGTTATAAATTCACAATCTACTACATGAATTTATTTGACATCAAATCATAGCTTTCTATGTGACTTCAAATTCCACAGGAGGGAGGGATAGACGATTTTATTGTAGATGTAATATTACGAATTAAGTGTCGGTAATAATAATAATAAAAAAAAAAGCTTATTTAAAATGTCGTCAAATTTTTAAACTATAAGATTGTCCTTAAAGTTGCATTTGCCTATAAATTATTACATGACATTGATGCCTTTGCATCAACATCACTACACGCATCAATAGTTATTATTGTCATATGCCCGCAATTCTCATGGTCATTATGAGATACTGTAACATTTATAACGAAAGCTTTTGATTTTGGATGTGATCAGACTGATCACATCAAAAATCAAAAGTTTATCATGTCGAATCAAAACTTATCGAATCGGTATACTGTATAATTATTCGGTCAATTTATGTATTTTTTACCAGGTGTCACGGAATTTGAGAACAGCTGTAAATTTTGTAAATTTTATAAAATCTTTAAAAAATCCATTCGGTTACTAAAATTTTCAAACTTTGACTCGGTCGGATTATGAAAACCATTACAGCTGTTTTCATAAATTCTGGGACACCTGAAAAAATTACTCTTTCCCGAAATCTCTTCGATCTTGTCTTAAGAATCGCTCTAACTTTCGGAAACTTGTCGCTGTCCTAAGAACTTCGATCGGGATACAGAGACGTAGTTTCCGAAAAGTAACTTTTTCAAGCTCATGAAAACAACTGTAATTAATTTATGTCCTTTTTTCTTCGTATAAAAAAGTAACAATCAGAAATTTCGGAAGCATATCGGCCAATTTGATTTTTTGGGCCCTTTTTCAATAAAATTGTTACACAGAAGTTTTTAGTTCTTGTTAACGTTGAAAAAATAACAAACAAAACGCGTCACAATCAATAAAAGAGCTTTTCTAATAAAAGCAAATAAAAACAAATAAAACAGCTATACTAAGCCGTAGAAAGAAGTAACATCACTTATTGTTGAGACGTTCGGGTATTGAAGGATGGACGATGGGTTTAATAATACCAAGGATATACATGTATGCCTAAATTATTTTTGAAAAAAAAGTATTTTCGGCAAACATTTCGGCATTGCTAAATTTTTTATATAAAACCCTCAGAAATAACTATACTATATAATGTATTTTGATGAAATGAGTTAAAAAAATTTCGGCAATAATTTCGGCATATATGAAAATTAATTTCGGCACTATATAAGACAAATTTCGGCTGCCTAAATGCCGTAATTACTTTTTTATTAAGATGGGCAATTTAGGCACACATGTATACCTCTCCTCGAGTACCATTAGTAGTGATACGGGCTGACTTCAGCCCAACGGCCGGGTCAATATACAGGTCGACCCTCAACCCGCACCTTTGTGGACCAGCCGGGTCGACCCGGACGACCCGCCCGAGTTTTTTTGACCTCGACCCCGGCCCAAAAAATTTTCATCGATCCATATCACTAACTTATTATAATAAACGCTACTAGATTGTCTGAGAATGTCCGTTGCAACAATTATTATAATTATTTTATCATTTACTTTATTTATATATACCTAATATACCAATTTATCAAAACCTACTAATCAAAATATGAACATGTAAAATTTATTTGTATAGTACTGTTACTATTGGTTTGAGAGAGCGTAGTACAATTGTGTGCCGGTTTAACTCCAATAGTTAACTTGGGTGGGTTTTATGGACGAATTTTATAAAATCTAATCGGTCTATATCGATTACGTTACGTGGGATTACGATAGTTAATTAATCAGGGGTGTCGGGTGATTAATTTAATGGGGGATTAGTGGCGATAGTGATATTGTTAGAGGGAAAACCGGTCAACACCAATCAACCAAAACACAAGCAACAACGATACCCGAAACGATAATAGAGGCGGATTCGATTTGGCAAGGTAAGGCTTGTTTCAGGTACGTTGCGCGGGACAGCACTGAACTTCGGTTTATTAAAACTTTAGGGTAACGACGATCCTTTTATTTTATTAATACGACAACTGCTTTTATTCAAAGCGAACGACAGGACTTTTTATACAAGAGAAAATACATTTGGGCTTTTACTCAATATTACTAAATTGAGTATCGGGGGGGGGGAGAATCTCAAGTTACAATGACTAAACTCCCACCATCTAAATCCAGAGGCTTCATGAGATTTTCAACAGAGCTTCGCCTTGAGCCAAACCCAAGATAGCATTTGATTAATGCTTCTGTCATATGCCGATTGGGGGTCTTGGGCTTGAGGCTTAGCTTGGTCCGGATCATGGCTTGATCACGTTTCTCACGTGCCTTTCTAGGTCACGTTTTGCCTCTAACAATACTGATCTTCGTATTCCTTTTGGGAGATCTATGAGGCATCTCGCGCAAATTGTACATCTCTAAAAATGAATTATAATAAAAATCTTTAAATCTTGTTTTGATTTAATTGTTATTTAAAATAAAACCGTATTTCAAAATAAAAGCAACTCTATTCAAATATCTGTAACAGGCTTTTCGAAAAAAAACGTAACATTTGAAATTTTTTTATTAATATTGCGCAAGAAAGAAAAAGTGAAATTATATAAATCTGCTAAATAACAACAACTGCCGGAATTATATTTGAATTTAAAACGTAATTGATTTTTAGGGTGGATGCTTTGTCTGTCATCATTGCCCTAGGAGACGAGTTTGAAATACTCATCTCCCAGGACCAAAAGGTAAAGCACATCATAAAGTCACCCGATCATGTTAAAAATATTATCTTTGATTTACTTTGTACAAGCGCATGTATTAACCCACCTTTATTTGCAATTTCCATCAATTAGTATAACTCGTATTCATAAACTTATTATTTAAAGTATTATAGTTCATTATATTCATATCTCCTAAGTGAACACCCAAGTCCAAAGCGATATATGGATTAAAACCTTAAATATTCACTATCTTGGCTGCTTTTTTAAAACTCTCTGCTGAACTTCGTAAAGATCAATAGTAAAATTGCCGCCAATAATTGCAGGGCGAACAACCAATGGAACATATCCAATAGCTGGAATTGGCGGATCGTAAAATACATCACCTATTGGAATATTGATTTGGTATGCAGGAATACCTGGGGCATTACACCCTGTAGATAGATTATTGCCTTTTTGCACAGTCCCGAAATGCCACTATTATTTAAAAAAAAACTTTATAAATATAAAAATAAACAGAGTCTATAAACAATTTAACCTTACTTTTCTGGTTGCCACTCCTTGTCTCCATAATTTAGCCTATTAATTAAAAAGTTTTAAGTAATCAGTTGAGGCTATAAATAATAAAATTGGTATAATAATAAATACCTTCATTGATCGATTAAAATATCCATTTGTCCGTGTAGTTCGCAAATTATAAAGTTTTATTCCTAACACGCATCTTACGTATTCCTGATTCATCCAAAGTGCACACTTATTCTTCCATCCATGGGCATTTTGAGCTACTGCAATCTCACACATTATTCTAGCATGAGCATTCCCCTTCAAAAAAGCATTAGAAATTGTATATAGACAGTTAATGACAATGCTGCATATACCAACTCCAAATCACCTGTGTGTCACTTGGAGGAGGTCCAAGATAGTTAGGTCCAGAATTGGAAGGTCTTGGAACGTATGTCTCGTTTGGATATACTGCAATATCAGGTGCAATCCTAAGTTCATTAGCATTAGGAGAAGGATGAACTATAAAAAAGAAATAATATATTAGAAAAATCCATAAAAGTCAAAGAAGAGAAAACTAGAATTCTCTTACATGGTTGACCACAAACTTCTATTGGTGGATCAGTAAGAACACCACCATTTGGAGCTTTGAAAAAGTCTTGCAATGTAGAAATAATAACTTCATGTTCTCTCGTACTCATGTCAACAATAAAAACATCACCGTTATTATACTCAAATTTGTATCCAAGTGATTCACAGCTTTCAAGAAATTTATTGTAGTTTTTTATCGATATGTTGGAACCAATTTTAACAGGTAACCTGTAATTCATGTTAACAACAGATAAAAACTTAAAGTAACTTATGTAATTTTCACTAACCTACTCGCGTCTAAAGGTTCTTTTGGTAATTTTGGAAGTAGAAATCGTTCTTGAACCTTCTTAGTTAGGTTATTAAACATTTTTTTAAAAAAATATATCTGATATATGTGGTTATTTTGTATAGCAATGATAAAATATGTAGGATCTATCGCAAGATCAGGTGTAATGCAAAATACAGAGCATCTACGGGCAGCAAAAACTTACGAAATTGATACACCTGCACTTCGTTGATATACGCAAATGTTACACTAAAATTTATATGGGTTTGGGTCAAAATCCCAATAAACAGAATCCCGACAAGCAAAAATCCCGACAAAATTGACCAACACTATGCTAACCCTAACTCTAATGCGGGCTAATCTGTCAGGATTTTGATCTTGTCAGGATTTTGTTTGTCGGGATTTTGACCGGCTCCCAATTTAATATATTTTATTAATACACATGACTATTATACTTTTAATAAAAATTTCAAGAAGATTTCACAATAATTACTTATTAAAATTTAATATTTTTTTTAAATTAATTATAAATATTCCTAGCATCAAAATAAAAAATTTTTTGCTGATTTTGATTAAGTTGTGATATCTTCGCTCAAAGTTTTTAAAAAAAATTGGCAAGCTTATATTTGATTGCAATTTGAATTGTTTACTACTTTTGAGTGAAGATATCACAACAATAACTTAATCAAAATTAGCAAAAATTTTTTTATTCTGATGCTAGAAATATTTATAATTAATTTAAAAAAAATTATTAAATTTTAATAGGTAATTATCATTGATATCTTCACTCTAATTCTTGAAATTTTTATTAAAATATAATAGTTATACATATTAAAAAAGTGTATAAATTTTATTGTAACATTTGCTATATCAACAAAGTAAATATTAGATATATTAATTTTGTAAGTTTTGCCTATAGGCACATATCAGATTATGTGATTTTGTACAACCAGATAATCACATAATAAAATATACAAAAAACAAAATTGTTATTAAACTTTGAACAAAGATATATCAATAACTACTTATACAAAGTCAATAATTTTTTTATTTTAATTCTATTAATTTATATTTTTTAAATATAGTTAGAGAATATATCAAATTAGAAAATTAAATTCTAGAATAATTAGTATATCGATTCTCATATTTGATTAACTCTTGTACATCTTATTATTAATAATTTTTTATCTTCATTATTAGAAACTTACAAAAAATCATATAAACAATATTAAAAAGTATCTAGTTTACACTAGTTGAAAAGGTAAAATTCGACCTCTAATCAGAGGTTGAATTTCAAATTTTTGGTTGAATTCAGGTCGAATTGGCCAAAAAATTTGGCCTATAATCAACCTATAATCGACCTAAAAACTACTAATCAGCTTAAAATTAACATCTTATTTTAGATTGAATAGTTAATTTTAAAATTCAATCTAAAATCAGACTCTGAATTTAGGTTGAATTTTATACGCATTCAACCTAAAATTAACCTCAAAATTTAGAAGTTGATTTTAGGTCGAATGTGTATAAAATTTAACCTAAATTCAGAGTCTGATTTTAGGTTGAATTTTAAAATTAACTATTTAATCTATAATCAGATGCTAATTTTAAGCTGATTGGTAGTTTTTAGATTAATTATAGATTGATTATAGATCAAATTTTTTGGCAGATTCGATCTAAATTTGATCAAAAATTTGAAATTCAATCTTTAATTAGAGATCAAATTTTACCTTTTCAACTAGTACAGAGAACCTTTTCTAAGTGCACCCCCTTAGGACCATAGACAAAATTTTCAAAAATGTGTATTTAGAGAGGGTATGTATTTATAGAAGGTGTTTTATTAAGAGTTCTATATGCTTTAGACTAAACATTAGTGTGTATTTAGAGAGGGCATACATAGTCCATGTATTTATAGGAGATGCACTTAAGGAGGGTTCTCTGTATTAGTTAATTCACAATAATCTATTCTGATTAACTTATATTTAAAAAGTAAATAGGAGTTAAAATTTAAAAATCTGTTTTTCTTAAACTAAAGTATAAAACTTAAATTTACTAATTAGATTTATATTTTAAATGGTTTTTATAGTATCAACTTCTCAAAGTCAATTAGAAGAATTATATATATTTTTATAGATTTAGTAAAATATATAATAGTATTAGCTTAATATCTTTTTTTTTATATTTTAGATGATCTTGTCTATTATTTATTAAAGAAATGCTTAAATAAGCTACAGAGTAAAAAAACTATAAATATTCTATACTGAATTACTCTTTTTTATGCTAATTTTAGACTCACTTAGCTACTTTCAAGTACTCAAGTACGATCTGTTGCAATAGCAATTTTCTTCATAAAAGCAATAAGTTATGTTTATAACCTACTTACTTCTAATTCTTAGGAGGCTATTACTAGTCTTTATCAAGATCTTTTATTTTATTTTAAGTTATGACCACTCTTTCTTTGAACTATGAGCAATCTATTAGTTGATTCTTTTACACGCTTCTTCCTGAATAGCAAATTTTTTTCTTTTTTTGTTTACTTTTTTGCATTAGATATTTGTAGTTTTCTTTGTTTAGATTTGCTTTATTCCTTTTTTATTTTATCCTTTTTTCCCTTGCTAAGATATTGTTTCTTTTTTCCTATTCAATCATGATTTCATATCAAAACTTTTATAAATATTTGAAAAAGCATATCCAAAATTGATCTAAGAAAATTTTTTTTTTTTTTTTTTTTATAATGCCATAGTAGAAACTTTATTTATAAGATTAGAACATATGTTCGAAATTTTAA